TGCGCCTGTGGCCGCGGCGTCTCTCCAATATGGTAGGGAGTGGTGGTTTTTTCTTTTTTCTTTTTTTCTTTTTTTTCTTTTTCAATTTCTTAATTTTTTTTAATTTTTTTAATTTTTAAGTAACTGCGCTTCTCCCTAGAGTGCCACGTAAGTTTCTTCCGTATATTATTTGACTTCGATTAATTTATTATTATTGTCATTATTACACCTCCCTATTCTTATTAATTATCATATTTTTTTTCAATATTACACTTACCTTACCATTATCTTATATTAATATCTTCTAAACAATCCTAATATAAAACAAACTAAACTTCTTTCATTCCCTTTTTCTTTTCTTCATTCCCATTTCTCAATCGTGTAAATTTATTGGTCATTGTTGGAATGTAGTTTGAGCCGTTGGATATTGCTACCTTTTTATCTAATTTTTTTAGATGTATTTAAAAAATATATATGCATATTTATTTAAGCCTCTATTTATACATAGTTTTTGAAAACGATACTAAATGTATTATAAATAAATTCTAGAGATTTTTTTGACATAAATTATTTGTAAGTGTATTATACATTTTAAAGTACGTAGGACTACTAAGATTGAAAGTTTTGGATACTTTTTAAAATAGGTGAACTAAAGACTCGTTTGATAACGTTTTCATTTATTGTTTCTCATTTTTAATAAACGTTTGCAAAATTGTGTAGGAATTTCAATGTTTATTGTCGATGTATCTACTTTTTTTTCTAATAGAAATATACGAAATCATTATTTTATCTTTTTTCTTTGAATTCATAATAAATATTGAAAAAATTAAATAACAAATAAGATGAAAACTGAAAAGTTGAATTTCACATACTACTTTTACTTATTTTAATATAAAATTTTGAAGAACTTATCAAATATATTTCTACTTCTTTATTTTCAAAAAATAAAAAATAATTTACAATAATTTACCGAATGTAGTTCTATTTTAAAATGATGAGTGAGAAACAAAAAACATAAACGTCATCAAACACATCTTAAATGGACTCAACCTTACAAATTCATAAGCTAAAGTTATAATTTAATTTAAACTCTATCCTACTAGATTACATCTCTTAATTTTGAAATATTAAAATTAACCCTAAGTTATAATTGGCCTCTTTTATTATGAACTATGTTATATCATTAAAAAAAATGTAACAAATTATTTGAGTGCATTAAACTGGACAGTGGTGAGGGTACCATTTTCTGACACCTGAGCTGCATTAATGAAATTTGAAAATGGTAGAAGACTGTGTTTGTATAATTACAATCAATTTTTTTCCCAAAAAAAAAAACTACAATAATAAATTGAATACATTTTTATTCATTATACCTTGTTTTTTTTTTAATTTAATCTTCGTAATTTAAAGAATTTCCACTATTATCTCTATTTATACATCACAATAATTCAATGGGTTAAATTATTTGTAATTTAATTTCAAAAAGTAGTAAAGCAATTTGGATTCCCATTATTGGTCCTACTTCAAAATAGAACTAGCATTATCCATTTTTCTATATTTGAACAAACATAACTTATTTAAATTCATGTGATATTCTAGACCTTCACATTCTTAAGAGTAAAAGGTATTTTTAGTCCATTAGAAAATACTTTGTGAAAATTTTACTTAGGGCTATATAATAAAAAAGAAGTTTGGAAATCATAAAAACAAAGAAATAAGAAAAACACTTTTTATTGATGCCTATTTCAAACCTATTTAGAGAATGAGTATTTTAACTCAATTTTCTCTCTCAAAGTCATCGTATAATATTTAGAAAAAAATTGTTAGATCGATTTGATAAATTTTTATTTAGGGGACAAAAAAAGAGATGTAGAGTTATGTGGAGGTGAGGAGATAATTCGTACCAATTAATGGTTCTTTGATGGCACGGTAAATTTTGGGTTCGTAGGGTTTTTTTTTTCATACCAAGATTCTCATTTGAGTTTTTTTTTTTAAACCTTTATCTTCAATGAAAATATCTCAGTTTCAATTTTCGTTGAAGTCTCGTATAAATTAATTTAAATTAAAGAGGAAAAAAGGGCCGGCCAGGCCAATGTCCAATCCTATAAGGCCCAAAAGTACTTCCATTCCCTCGCTTGCTTGATTCGGTGCCTAACTCCAATTATTTGTGCAACCATATTCCAACATGTGGCATTTCAACAATATCCACCAATAAAATCTAATTCCCATCAATCCGAGCTCGACTTGGTCGATAAAGTATCTRTTATCAATATTTTTCAGTACGATCAAATGAGATGAAGAATTGAACTTCTAATTTTAGAAAATGAGTGGGGTGCATTAACCACTAAATTATGCTCATGTTGATCTCTATTATCTGTCTTAAAATTGAACATCCAATTTCTATCTTCATATTTATTCAATTGAGAAAAAGAATAAGGTAGAATCTAATTGCTTATACAAGTATAGTCGAATTGATTAATAGATTAATAACCTACCTTAATAATCAAATGTACTTATGATAATGAGAAAAAAAATACTAATAATTAATTTATTTATTCTTTTAATTCAACGTTGGGAATTTGAAATTTTGATATTTTAGTCGAAGTTATAATGTCATGACTAATTACAAAAGAAATCAAATTAAGTGTCCATGTGTCTCTCTAGAAACAAGTGACAATACTTTTCAGCTATCTAAAAACTTAAAAAAGGAAAAAGGGAAAAAAATCATTGATCTAAAAAGTTGTAAAAATAAAGTTAAACTACAAATTTGGTCACATAACATAGTTTTGTTTGAAGTTTCAGTTTTAAGCATAATTTCAATTTGGTTTTATAGTCAAGTCAAACTTCTCAAATTATCTGTATCCTGCGCTTTTGACATATTTTTGTCTACATGCCAATAAGCTCACACTTACTATTTAGTTAATCATGTTAGTTGACTATGGGTGTGTTTGGAAATAATAGTATCAGTAATTTTGAAAAAATATATTTAAGGATAATTGATTTTTCAAAATCGATATCAAAACGATACATTAAAAATCAAATCAAAGTAATTTCCAACTTTCCTAAAATCAATTTTTTAATTTGTCAAATATGATTAATTACAAGAAAAGTAATTTTGACACTGATACAACCCAAAATCAATCACAAACATATTCTATATTATAGACTAAAACCAAGTAAAAAATGAAAATAAATAATTGGATTTTTTTCCGAGTAGATATAAAAATAGTTATCCAGACATAATCTTTTTTTTTTTTTTTTCAATTCCGTAATTCAACTACATTAGAAAAAACAAAGAAAATTACATTAAGAACCCTCCCAAAGCCCCTAAATATTACATCTTCACATCTCATTTAACTAAACTCTTGAAAGTTAGCAATTTGGGGACAATCCCTTTGGTCGGAAAGCTTAACTCAGTGTAGTTTTTTTTTCCACCATAACATGGAGAGTGGAAGATTCGAACTCACGACTTTCAGATGGAATATAGGTATTTTAATCTAAGATATGTGAAGGTTGACAAATACTTGCCTACATTAAATTCCAATGAACGTCAACTTGAATATAGTTCATCAAGTCAAGGCATATATCTTTTCGATAGATGTTGAGATTTTAGCTTTTGAGACCATAGCAGCGTGGGTCCCGCCCCAAATTTAAATAGGACTGTAGTACCCCTCAAGATTATAGAGAGAGATGAGTCATTGAATAATGGCATGGCGGATGAGGAGAGTGGGCTCTATTGGATTCAGATGTTTGTCTCTCGCCTTCCCCTCCCCTATTCCTCCACAGTTTTCTCTTTCTCTCCTCTCCTATTTCACTTCCCCCATTTGCCCTCCCGCTTTCCCAAATATTACCACTTCACCCCCTCTGTTCAATTATAATAGTCGTCGAGTTCTTAACCTCCCTCGAATTTCTTTCGAACTAATGGTAAGATGAGTGATTTTGAAAAAACGAGATTTAAATATAATTGATTTTTCAAAATTATCATCTATGATACTAATTTAAATTGATTTTTTAAAACTTTCCTAAAATTAAAATTTTAATTGGCCAAACATGATCCATGGAAAGGAAGGTTATTTTGTCACTGATTTTGACAATGACAAAGTACCAAAATCACTCTCAAACACACCATGAGTATTGCTCTAATTTTTTTTACTTTTTCCAAAAATATTAAACAGATTGTCAAATTTTTAGCCGCAGACAAAATGGTTAAAAACATTTACTTTGACATATGTATTTTTAAAAAGGGATCGTTTTAATCCTTAATCTTTTTTTATTTTATTTTTTTCTATCACACAACAACACAGACATGAAATTATATTAAAGAGTTTCTGTTATGGGTATAGAATTTGAATTAAAATTTTACAAATAAAAGCTAAAATAGTCCATTAACGTTTCAAAAGTATGAAAATTAGAAAAGCCAAAGTTGAAAATACGGAGACGAAAATAGTATTTTAAACTAAAAAAATCGTGATAAAACTCTCTATTTGGATCTTTCTTTCAAATTCACACCATACCCCTCATATTTACTTTATTTACATTTTCCACCCCCGGGTTCGGAGGGTCTACCGGAGCCCATCTGCCCGCCCTGCCCTCACATTAAAACAAAACAAATCCAATTCCAAAACCATTTTCATTTCATTTCATTTCGTGCCTCTCTCTCACTTACAAATCTTTCTGCGTTTTTCCTTTTACGCCATTTGACCTGAAAAAGAAAAAAAGAAGTTTTAAAAAATTAAAAAGAAAAAAAGAAGAAGAGGAATTTATATATGGATTGAGATATGACAGCTCTGTGTTTTTTCTCGTTTTTTGTTCCGATTTTATGAACTTACTCTGCCTCACTTGCTCCTCCATTTCTGGCCGCCGATGGCCGTATTAGTCCCCCACCGCCACCACCGCCGCCGCCGCCCCCTCGCCGTTCTCCTCCTCCTCCTTGCCTTCTTCTTCCTCGCCTCTGCTTCCTCCTCCTTCCTCGGTCAGTTTAATCCAAATCCAAATTCAAATTCGAACTCAAAACTCATTTTAATTTAGAACCCCTCTTCTGGGTTTTGTGTAAAATTAGTTTCTTTTGGTTCTTTCAGGCGGCAGGGAGAAAACAGAGGGAAGCGTGCCGGCGCCGGAAGTGGTGATTCGGCGGAGATTGGGTGGGCCCGGGTCGTCGCCGCCGACCTGCAGATCGAAGTGCGGGAGTTGCTCGCCGTGCACGGCGGTGCACGTGCCAATTCAGCCGGGATTAAGCCTGCCGCTGGAGTATTACCCAGAAGCGTGGCGCTGCAAATGCGGCAATTCCCTCTTCATGCCATGACATAGACGAAACCAAAACCAGAAACCCTGTACTTTTTTTTTCCCTCTTAATTTCCTCTTCTTCTTCCCTCTTTGGAAAATATAATCTGCTTGATTGTTTTTGCCACTCGTGGTCACTTCAATGGAGGTTTTTTTCTTTTTTCTTTTTTCTTTTTTTCCCTATTGTCCATATGGTACAGTGTCATCGAAACTCGAAATCCCCCGTTTGATTTTTGTCTCGCTGCGTTGGGAAAGAAAGACTTTGGAAATACAATAGTTTTTTCTATTAGGCCATCATTTCATTTCGCATTTCACATTAAACTTTGGATTAATTAAACAATAATCATTTGTTTTATTCTATACAATTTTCACTTATCATTCACATTTTTTTAATTGGTTGCTAACATGACACCAAAATTTACAACTTCCAAAATTTTTTTACACGTAAAAAAGAGTTAATCCACTTCTCTGTATTGGTATATTACTGACACGTTTCTTTATAACGAGTATTTTATCAATTGAACTATACTTGACATAGACTAGAAGACGAGTTTTTTTTTTGCTCGGCGTAAAAACCCAAGAGGCAATGCATGTGAAGGGGAGGAATAATAATAGGTTAGCACAATCCTATAATTAGGGTAGTATAAATTTGGTGGGCAAAATGAGAGGAAGAAGGAAAGGAAAGCAAGTTAAAGTAATAAATGAGTGATACATATATGGAAGAAAGTAGAGAGGAAGGGGAAAAATTGGACATTTGGGAGTTGAGTTTGGTTTGTATGTTTCATGGTTTGTCTACATATAATGTGATTGTTGTTATCTTCACACCACTTTAAGATCTTAAAGTGAAAAAAAAAAAAAATCAAAATCTCTCTCTCTTCGTGTTGAGAGGCAATGTACCTAAACACCCTCTATTATTATTATATCCCTATTGAAAACTTGGCCTTTTCTTCCCTTTCACTATACACTTTTTTTGTTCTTTCAAATTCCTTCTCTAGGCTTTGGGTTCGTGACTCCTTACTACGACTTTGTGTGTCAAAAAGGGTATTCCCAAATCGAGTATTTTGGTCGAAATGAGTCTGATAAAGATGAATAGGTTTGTTCGGGATTCTATGTCAATAGTTCCCTACTGTTAGTCTCGAAAATTGTGATGGGACATGGAACATTGAAATCACTATTTACAGACTCATAATTGTATAGAAGTAAGAACAACTTAGGTTGCAAAGTCAAGTTGATTAAAATGGTATTCATCCGAAGATTGAACTCAACGCTGGTGTGGTGTCTAAGGTTCGGAATGAGTAGGGGTTGGGAGAGTTTGGTGTTGCATGAGAGAGGAGAAATATATTCAACCAAAGAAAGAAAAACGTGTGAGCAGTGGAATAGAAATTATAACATATAGTAAGATGCTAAAAGTGGAGAGTGCAGAAAAATGTTGATTATTTTTTGGGATTGTTCCAGAATTACCCCTGTGCAACTGTTGAAATTACCTGTTTCAAAATTATAAATCAACGACCCAATCTTCCCCCCTCGTGCATGTGCCAGTATTGGGCAAAAATTTCTCAGCACCCACGTGGGGCCCATTCTCACCGCTGTCACCCTGTTTTATATACATGTATTTTACGTACCATTTTCTTTCACAAATATATAATAATAAATCAAATAAAGAAGATCCAGCTCCAAATTTTGGGGTCCTCTGGATTTTGAACGGTCCAATTCTCTCATAATCAATTACATTTCACTCAAAAAGAAGAAACAAAAGTAGAAATGGCTTTTAGAAATAATTTGACTCACATGTTAGACTTATGTAATTAATAATTAAGTCAAATTTATATGGGTTGTTCTGTCTTATATTCTTTTATCTCTGAAATGGGATGATATTGTCAATTTTATTTCTAATGGAGGGAAGATAGACGAAAAGGAGAAAGAGGTAGATAAAGCTTGAGGGGAGAGAGGTGAAAGGAGAATCCCAAAGCACAAACACTTCAATTTGAATAATATATATGTGTTAGACACTTCAAATTTTCGATACTTATTGAATAAGTATCCGATATTCTGTAGCTCAATAGATATGAGTCACATATAAGTTGTATAAAGTGAATATGAATTCCACACTTATTAGGCACGTATCGAACGCTTTTTAAACATAAGAATAGACATAATTAGTAATATAAGACAAAATAATACATTTTGAGAGTAAAATACATCAAATTAAATAATTCTAATATAAAAATGATATATACTTTTTAAAAAATTGTATATTTTAATAAACGTATCCATCTCCTAAAATTTTAAAAAATGACATGTCACAGCATCCGTGCCCTGTCGTATTCGGATCTGGTGTCTCTATGGAGAATGCTGGTTTAATAAGAGTAAACGAGGTGAGGTTTGGGGGTTTAGAATGAAGGAAGGAAGAAAAACGTTGAAATGAAATGGCCCACTTTTGTTTTTGGCACAAAAAAGGGGGATTCGACTGTGAATTGAATTCAGAAGATAGTGAAGAGAAAGATTTGTGTATGTGTGTTATGTGGGTGGGAAGAGACAGGTTGACAAGGAAGATGTGAAAGGTGGGCCACTGCCCCCATTCCCCTCACCATCTCCCTTTGGGTTTAGTTCTGACTTCTGAGATAGAAAATTAATTTATTGAGAGGAAAGAAAAGGGGTTTATTTTGGTGAAGTGATGGCTGATTTGATGGAGGGGTTTGGAAGGAAGGAGAGAGGGTGGGTGTTGTGTTGCAGACTTTTTGATGGTAGCAGTCAAGACCAAAGACCATGACCCTCCATTCCCATGTCTATGAATTATCATCCATTCGTTTTTCTCTCCCTCAACAATTATCCACCCTTTCTGTACCCTCTTCCCATAGCCAAGGACAATTTTCAGACTCTTTCAATTCTCCCCCACATGTGCAGTAGGTTTTGAACTTTTGAGAGAAATTCTCCCAAGGGTGCCTACTCTTGAAATAACTTTAAATTTAGATAAAAGAACTCATCTTTTTGAGACACTGAATAGATATATGTTGAGGCAGTGGTTTGTTGATGTGGTCGACGAGAACAGTGCACATGTCCACATACAACCTTTAAGACCGAACTCAATATTGGTGTGGTGCTCTTATATTTCATTATGATGATTAAGTTAAAACTCAATTAAGATGAACTAAGAGAAAAGCAAATAGCTGGTGCAAGAATTTGTGTACCTTGAAAAGGTTTGACTCCTCTTAGGTAGAAGATCACGTTGTACCGCTGGACAGAGAGTTACGAATACTGTAACTAGCAAAAGCATACTTATGTAAAATATGAGAGTTACGAATACTGTAACTAGCAAAATCATACTTCTGTCAAATATCAGCAGATATTACACCGTTTATTTATTTCTCAAGGAGAATAGACAAGCAAAAGGCTTCTCCTCCTCTTAGTGACACAGACTTTCCTACCTCAAGCCTCTGGGTTAGGACTCGAGCCCTGAACCCATGTGTCCCTCCGGAATTCACTCACATGTAATGTTATATTTGCGCTCGTGACAATATGTAAAGATGTTATTCATGGAACTTCAGAGGTAAACTCATTGTCCTAACTCCTAACATATAATTTGTTTGGATTTTAATTATAATATGAAAATACTATATTTTGTGGCCATTTTCTTATATTTGTTTCTTGTAGGATGTTATTTAGGTAAGTAGAGTATGTGGCAGGGGATTAACAGAGACACCATGCCAAGTACCATAAGATGTTTATGTGAGCTTTTATTTTTGTTACTGGTATAATATGAAACAGAAGCAAACAGACTAAAATACAGAAGCCTAGAATTGTAATTTAAACAGATATTGTATATTCATTATTTGGGGGAAAAATATATAAAGTATTGGGGGCCTGATGCATAAGATAACAATATCTAGTATCATGATATGACGCTAAAATAATGAGAACATGTATTGTTGTTGTCAGTAATTCAGTGTGGTGAGCATGTGGTGCCTCTGCTAGCTTTGAGGAAATGGGAGGTAACCTAGGGAAACGAAAATCTCAGCTTCTTCTTTGCTTCCATGTCTAAAAACAATAGATTATATTTAACAAGCAGAAGAATAGTGATAAAAAGAAGCCCAGCTATTTCCATTGTTTAACACCCAAGAGCTTTCTTTGACTTTGATTTCCCATTCTATTTTTGGGAACTGTCACCCTCAATTTCGTCTTTCACCTGAAACCCATATCTGCACATTATGAATAGTCAAGGCTTGAAGGATGGCAGTACAGCCACCATGTCCTTTACAGGCCAACCAACCTTGTGAAAGCTCTTCTGAACTCAGGGAATCAGGCATAGGCAGAGCTCATTAATCATTACCTACCAACATATCATCTAATTTTCGAACTGGGTTCAAGTAGTTTCCATGGGTTCTCCATCGCCACCCTCTCCTCCTTCCTGTTCCGCCATGGCTTCGTCCTCTTTACCTTCCTTTGGAGCAACATCAGGTGTTGGCTGAGTTTGAGGTGGAGGAAACACACCCTCCACCATCTCCGTAAGCTCTTGAATTCCATCATCTCCCATGCGAACATCGCTGTCCTCTATAATCTAAAAACAAAAGAAATGAACCCAATTAATCTACATCTTAATCTACCCACTCATCCAATAAATGTTTCCATTTTCTTTGTCCTTCAGATTCTTGCGTGAACTCCCAAACAAAGCATCCGAACAGAGAATCAGGACCATCGTAAAAGTACCAAAAGACAAGAATTTTTTTGGAGCTATTTTGAAAAACAACTTTTACCTATCAAGAATGGCCCAGTAGTAATTAATTGGACATACCTTTTAAAGTCTTTAAAACTTAATAATTAAAAGAAAAAAAACTCTTCTTGTTTCTCCGAACAAGCCTTGAGGAGGGTGAAGCCTCTTCATTTGGGCCATAAGTATATTACAAGTGGGGCATCTTCTACTCTAAGGTATGGAAAACAAAACTTTTTATTTTTATCTTCAAAACAACATTTTAAGTATAATATTTGGGCAGCTTGCAAAGGGTAAGTTATTTTGCAGTTGAAGGTACTAATTCACGAGAGTCCATGGTTCTGGAAGGGAAAACAACTACACTACTTTGAAAACAACTTAACCCACGAGTAGAACTTTAGCCCAAAAAGCATTTTTTCGGAATCCTTCCGACCAGTCCCAAGTCTTTCGTGAACTACAGTCTACAGCTTTAACTCATTAAGAAGACTTCAGTTGAATTTTAACTACAACTTCTGACACCTATTCCACGAAGTTCTTAATAACCAGACAAATGTGCTCCATAGCTAGAGAATCTAAGGCTTTTGGAATGTCAACAGAAAAGGGAAAAAGCTACAAAGACTACATTATTCTCTTACTACAGATTAAAACTAAAACTGCAATTAGCATTTATACAATATTTTCAGTACTCCCTCCTAGAATGCCTCGTTAAAATAGCTGAGATATTATGGATTTCTTCTGTCCACCAAAATTTCTAAGGCATTCACAGTTCTTGACCTCCTGTATCATGTAGAATCTTCCAAAAATCTAAAGGCACCAATGAAAAACAAATGGCCTCATCCACATGGGAAAGTGAAATATGAGTTTCGAATAGAGATCACATACAAAAAGATAAGCATGATGGAACAGCATAGAATTGATAAATAAAATAAAGGAAGAAATTAAAGTGAAGAATTACTGTAATGGAAGGGAGAAAGAAAGGGGAAAAATACCGGAAAAATCTCAACCGGGGTAGTCGGCCGCAAGTTGATGATATTGAGAATTTCAGCTTTCGCGAGATCATACTTTTTAGACTTGTCAACAAACTCAATGATAGATTCTCTCCTTTGATAACAAGCAGGAGTCTGATTCAAATAATCATAAACCTAAAAAAAACAAGACAAAATTTTGATTAAAATCTGCAAAATCGAATCGTAGAGCCAGCACAAAAAGAAGGGAATAAAATCTGTAACCTTATACTCAGATGGTTCCACTTTTGCAAGAACCCTAGTGGGATCCTTAGCTGCCCCCTTTGATCGTAGAAAGTCGAGCACCTCAAAATTTGTAAGAGGGCCTGCATTGGCCTCTAATCTGCGATTAAATTGTCGGCAACAATAAATTTTAACTCCGTCCAACAGAAATCGATGAAACAAGTATTTCGAACAAGAAAGAATGAAAGATTAATTGCTTACATTTTCATGGAGAAGAAGTTTACAGATTTGGCCGGAATAGAAACCCCCTCGACGACGGCGGCGACAAAACCCTTCGTCGGTCCCCATTCACAATTACCAAACAAATCCCACTAAATTGTTGGCATGGGCTTTGGAAAATGACTATTGGGCTTTTCCATTAAATTTCGGCCCTTTTTATGATCCGGACCAATGTCAACATTGTAATTTTACGAGTGGTCTTTTTTCTTTTTTTCTTTTTTTTTAAAGAAATTTTTGCCAGTAGTTAAATTTAGATTAATTAAATATTATGAGGCAACATTGTAAATGATCTTTAATGAAAATGTAATGACAGTTATTTTTTGTAATCATATAATTTCAAATATGAGGGAGAAATTTGAATAAAATTTCGAATTTGATGTCGGAGGAAAAAGTTACACGTCAAAGGAATTGACCAACAATATTTTTTTAGCTCCATTTGATCCTTCTTTTTCATGTCATTCTACAAACAATATTTTATCTTTAATTGCGAAAACTAATATACATTTGGAAGGGGATTGGTGACTTCATTTGGTTCTAATTGTTCGAGTTTCTTTGGTTTGGGCCTTATGGGCTTTTTACATTTGGGCCTTTTCGTCTTAAGATTTTTAGTTTTCGAGAAGGGAGTAGTATAGACTATTTAGAGACTATAATTACATAAAAAAATTGAATGGTATAAAATTTACATTTTTATCGTGAAATAACCTCGATGGTACCCATTATCCAATTTACTAATATATCCTTTTGTATCTCACCTCAATATTAATTAATTTTTAAAATCTAAAATTGGTTACTCCAAAGGTTACATTTTAAATCCCTTAAATTTGGCCTAATTACAGTTTCCAAAACTAAAAAATATCAAATCTCCCAAACCCTCCAAAAAATTCGAAAACCTCATTCCTTCGACTTTTCTTCTTCTTCTATCGTTCTGTTTCCGCCAATTCGTTCGTCTTCGGCCGTCGTCTGCGTTCATTTGTCTCCGATCGCCGCCTCCGTTCTTCTTCGTCGTCGGAACAATCCTTCTAGCTACTCCTTCATCTCCGACCGCTCGTCCATTGTTTCCGTCCGCTTATCTCGAGGTTTCTTTTTTTGTCTCTGGTCGACTGTTCGAGCCCTTCATTTATCCCGACCATTGTCTAGTCACCGACCAGAAAGTTTGTAGGTTATTTGCTTTGTTTGTTAATTGTAGAGGGATATAGTCGTATATATTTTATAGCCAGGTATATTTATATCTCCATATAAGGGTATGTTATAATGGCTATACTTTATATCATCATTGTTATGTGTATGTTGCTTAAGTTTGTAGTCGGATATAGTTTATATTTCCATGTAACTGAAAAGGTAGTTGGGTATAGTTTATGTATCTATATAAATATATATATTTTCCAAATAAGTGTATGTTATAATGGCTATATTATTGAAATTTGTTCAAAATTTATAATAAGATGAAAAATATTTGTAATAAAATTCATTATTTAGTAGAATATATTAAGTAGTAAATTTGGGGATTATGATAATAATTTAATATTTTGTAACAAATTTCATTTTTTGGTAGAATATATTAAGGAGTAAATTAGGAGATAATGAGAATGATTGATTTAGGTCCCACAATAATTTAATATTTATAAAATCAAATTTGGAATATTAATCTTTTGCATTTAAATAAAAGACGAATTATAATAAATATAAATGCCATAAATAAGGGCAAATTTGACATTTGAAAAAAGTTTTAAATCCATAAATCTAAAACCGTAAAATTTATAAACATTGGACATTTGTGAAAATAAATTTCCAAAATAGTTTATCGACATTATATCTTTTGAAAATGTAAATACATAATTCAACAAATTGGCGCAAATTTGTGACCACTTTAACTGCCATAAAAATATAAAGCTTTTACGTTTTTAGTACAACAACAAGTACGGTGGAATGATTTGAAATATAAACTTAAATAACATTTTAGTTTTGATACTTTAGGACTTATTTTATTCTATTTTAGGAGGGTTCTTTTAAATATCCTAATTCTTGTACTTTCAATAAACTTAAGTATTTCCAATCGTAGATCGAAGATTTTTTTAGTACATCATGTGGAGGTGGGAATTAGAAATTTCGTCTCCTTAACTCGTTGAGCTACGATCGGGTTGACATCGTAAATTGAAGGTTAATTTCTGCTTTAGAAAAAAAGTTTATAGACATTCCTTATGAACGGAATACATTCACGTGAACATTTTGAATGGAGCTACGAAAATATAAAATATCTATTAGTTTTGTAATTATTTTAAATATTTGCCTTTATGTCCTTTCTAATTTCTAAATAATAAATTCTGATCTCTCTCGCCCATTAATCACGAAGAACCAAAATGGTTTCAAAGAGCCCTTGTATTGTGTGAAATTGTTCTCTATCTTCCTTTCAGCGATGGAAAATAGTACTGTAGCACGTTTTCTAGCTATTAAATAGTGTTTGTCTTCGTTATCTTTCTGATTTTGTTGGCGACCATTTTAAGATTATAAACTCTGGTATGATTTGAAAAGAATATACGAGATACATGTTTTACTCTCCTTGTCGTTATTCTACGCTTTTAATTAGGTTATAAGTGCTTAGGAATAAAGTTCACCTAACTCCGCTTATGAACTATTTGAATGCTCGTGTTTAGGATGAAAAAATCACCACTCAAGCCAAAAGCTTAAGCTAATGGGTTGGATCCATTCGACTCTATATTTTGCTCATATCAAATTAATATCCACTAAGTTAAAATACTATTTTAGTCACTGTACTTTTAGCCTATGATCATTAGTCCTTATATTTTGAAAATGTTCATTTTTACCTATGTACTTTAAATTTTGGTTCATTTCAGTCCCTCTACTTTGAAAATGATCATTTTGATCATTGTACTCTTAAAAAGTGATCATTTTATTCCTTCTTTACAAAACTTTAATTCAAATTTTACCCCCAATGAAAACTCTTTAGTATAAAGTAATGTTTATATTTCAAGAATATATTGATTTTAGTGTTGTGTTGAAATTTTATAGAAAAAAATGAGATTAAGAATAAAATTAAGAAAGCAAAATAGTCACGTTTTAAGTATAAAACCAAAATGGACATTTTTAACCAACATTGAAATGTAGAGGGACCAAAATGAACATTTTGAAAGTATAATGACCAAAATAAACAAAAATTGAAAATACAGACACCAAACTAGTATTTTAACATATCCACTAATTCACAATAAACCAATATACTTATTGAAATATAAATATGAATTCATAATAAAAAGGTGTAAAATACATGGACCAAAATAAATCACGAAAACATGAGATAGAAATAGGCCTAACAATACAGTAGATTGAGCCAAAACGAGCGTAGTTGAACATATACGTCCCTGGTCGATCCCCCGCCTCCACCTTCTGGATTGGAGAGTGGATTTTCAGAGACGAACTTGGAGAGTCTGAAGCTGTACAGGCAAGCTCAAAGACCCATCTTCAATGGCTCTCAAATCTTCCTCTTTCCCCTCCAAATAAGCCTTCAAAAACGCCACCACAGCCCCACCCACAAAGCTCCTCATCGGCCCTCGCGATTCCCCATTTTTACACATACAGTAACTCCCCTTCCCTCTAATTCCCCTCGTCTCATCATCCAACAAATCCATATGCCCGTAATCCTTCACCACCATGTAATGCGCCGGACTCCGACACTCCTTGAAAAACTCCTCGTGATTCACCCCCTTCGGACCGCAGGGGGGGAACAGAGGATTCCTCTGCAATTCCCCCAGGCCCGACCCGATTACCAGAACCGGCATCGCGGACACGAAATCGAAGGACTCTGAAACGCCCGTCAGGATTGGGGGCCTGGATCCGTCGACCGGGTCGAGCCCGATTATGGCCGACACTTTTGGGGCTGTGCTGGATGTTGATTTGTTTAGGGCTAGGGCAAACGCGAAGGCGACCTTGCCGCCGCGGCTGTGGCCGGCCAGCGCCAGTTTCTTCAGATTTGGGCTCACCTTCGCCGGAAGATAATGCCGGAGCCCCTCCGGCAGCCACTCGCCGATGGCCGCTAGTGCTTTGATCTCGGCCCCTGTATCTTGGCACGTTACTGTGTATAACTGTACGACATTTCCATGTATCAGTTCTAGGATTAAGGAGTATTACATTTAGCTCGGGTTTCTGATTTTTTATTTTTTGTTAAAAAAAAATGAATGGCATAGTTCTGAATTCAAGTGATAAAAATGAACAAAAGAAAGACTTGCAAAATGTTTAGATTTTTTGAAAAAATTAGAAATATTGAACAGACTTTTTGGTTTCTCACTTTTATATGGTAAATTTTCAAATACATCATTTTATTTAAAAAGAATGATGTCAAAATGGGATAAACAATTATTGATTAAATAATCAACACATAAAACTCAATCCAATATTTTTTTTTACAAAATAAAAATGGGATAAAAAATTATAATAAATAATTTAAAAACTAATTTTCATATATATATATATATATATATATATATTAATTTCAATTTTTACAGAATGAGAAAGGAATGATTAGCAAACGTGTATTTCTATTTTATTTACCAATCACGTACTTGAATTACCAGTTTAGAATTTCTATGAATACTTTAAAAGAAAAACGTTTTTTGTGGAAGCTATGTCGTAGATTTTTAGATTTCAATTAAAAGGAAGATTTATCATTCTCAACCATTAAATATAGATAGAGATATTTTTTGTTTATCATTCTCAACCATTAAATATAGATAAAGATAAAGTCAATAAAAAACGAAATAAACTTATAAAAGAATATATTCAGAAAAGGGAAGCCTTCAAAATTTAATTTTGAAATCTAGGTGTATTTTGTTATTACTTTTAAATATGCATTAGTTTTTTAAATTTGTTTTTAAAACTAAATTATTTTATGAGCATAAACTAAAAAACTAAACCAGCGGCACTTATTTTTTAATTTTTTAATGTCTTTAAATCAGGAAATCGTGAATTTGAATTTCGAATTCAGGCTATATCTTATACTATTAAAACATCGAAATATGATGGGATTTCAATCCCCGCGTCGGTTTTAAAAAAATGTTTGTGGATAAATTGGGGAAAAAATTTCAAATTCTTTCGACCAAAATTTGTAATGTAATGAAGAAATTGGAAGAAGAAGAAGAGAGTGGTGAGAAATAGAAAGAACCTGAGGAGCGACGACGATGAAGCCGTGGGAAACGATGTGTCGGATGAGCTGCCTGTAGAAAGTGTTGCAAAGAAGGTAGCCGTGCATGAGCAGCACCACCGGAAACTCGCCGTCCTCCTCCGGGTGGCCGATCACCACCGGCTTCGGCGGAGCAAATCTGCCGGCGCAATTAAGACAACAAGTACTGGCCGATCCAACCTCCTCGATCGGGCCGACGGTGAACTTTCCCATTTCAAATACGTTCCCCGCAGTTGCAGTTGCAGAGCCGCCGGCGACAGTGACCGACGGCGGATGAAAAGACAAGGAAGCCATAGCCATCGCGGAAGTCTCTCTGGGTGGGTCACAGTCTCTTTATCTCCATATTTATGGAATTTTGAAACCATTTTCAATGACACTCAAGTTTCCGTAAATGCCCCTTACCCTTTTTCTTTTTTTTCTTCTTTTATATTTATATATGTATATGTGAATATAAATAAGGAAATATAAATAAATTAAAAAAAAATGGTGTTTTTTTAGTATGGGGTCGAGATTCAAACTCTTTGGATACATGCTCTTTAACCTGCTGAACTATGTTCTAGTTGGTAATTAAATTATTTAGTTTATTTTTTAATAGGAATAATTCAAAGTGTTTAAATTTTTTTGCTAAATCTCAAATTATATTTCATGGTCCCTAATTTTTTTATATGAATCTTAATCATTTTGTTTTTTTTTTATTTTGATTTTTGGTTTTTTATTTTGAAAAAATATGATTGTTTGATTCTCCATTTAATTTTCTGTTTTTTTATAATGATTTTGAAATTCTACGTATTTTTCAAAAACAAAAATATCTTTTTTTTCTAAAATATCTTTTTTTTCTTCTACTACTCAATTATTTGGTTGATATATTTCTCACTAACAAATTTTTTTCTTATTCTAAAATTTTTATATTTGAACATTTTTTATTATTTATCAATCAATTCTGTTTAATTATTATTTTGTTTAATTTATTTTATTTTTGAATTGATATATTTCTCACTAACAAATTTTTTTCTTATTCTAAAATTTTTATATTTGAATATTTTTTTTTATTATTTATCAATCAATTCTGTTTAATTATTATTTTGTTTTATTTATTTTATTTTTGAATTGATATATTTCTCACTAACAAATTTTTTTCTTATTCTAAAATTTTTATATTTGAATATTTTTTAATTATTTATCGATCAATTCTGTTTAATTATTATTTTGTTTTATGTATTTTATTTTTGAAAAATAAGGTGGTTTATAATGATTTCGAAATTCTATGTATATTAAAAACCATATTTTTGTTTTTTAAAAGTTTATTTTTTCTCCTAATACTCGACCTTTTTCGTTGCATATTTCTCTTCAACCAATTTTTTTCTCATTCTAAAATCTTTTCTTTCATAAAATTTTCTCTCTAAAAAAATTATTTTTCTCCCTCAAAATGGGTATATTTTGAATATTTTTTTATTATTTATCTCCTTCCAAATTTTTCCAATTTTTATTCTTTTTTTTTTCTAACAAATCAAACAATCGGAATGAGTTCGGAATGACTTTTAAATGATTTGCAAGCGAAGTGTTTACTAATAAAAGAATTGACAGTTTATTGTCATTTAAATAGTAATTATTCTTTTTGATATAGCCACACAACCCAACATGTCAAAGTTAGTATAAATCATTGGTAATTTAAATATATCTCTAATCAAAAAGTTAGGTTCAATCCTTCGCCCCCACACGTTATACTAACTCGGCAAAAATTCCTTAATCTTTCCATTGTGTTTTACACTCGGTCTCCTCCAATTTTGCAGACAGAGAAACCAAGCCTTAAGTTTCCTCCAAAAAAATTTCCCATCCCATTTCCCTTCGTTTTCTCCACTTCCGAACACAAAGAAAAAGACCAAAAAGCCCAAAAATGAAATTAGGCGACGTGGAAAATGACCAACTTTGCCCAACGACGATGGAGAGTTCCCTGTTCCCGTGGGGATTTATCTGGAAAGTTTTACGCCATAATTTCAATGCATGCCACTTTCACAATATCTTTTAGGAATAAGAGGATTTTTTTTTTAAATAATGTAATTAAAAAAACAAATTACAAAAGTGAGATAGGTTTGAAAATAATTCCAAAACTAGAGTAGCTAAATCATTGGGGGTGGTACGCGATTTCTCCAAATCACATGCTTTAAATGCAATTTACATCTAAATTGTGTCCATTGAATGCAATTAGTCTAAACTAGCGTCCAATCGACGCGACTTTCAGGTCAGTGGCTCCCACTGGCCTGCTGATGCTGAAATTTGTACACCATTTTCCCTTTTTTTTTCCCTTCTTTCTTTTTTTCTTTCTGCGGCTTTTTTCAAGTTTTTTGTCAGTTCTGTTGAAGGGTCAGTTTCTTCTTGCTAGTTTGCACCATGGACACCAACAACGGAGAGAAGGGGTGCGGTGGTGACGGAAAGACCAGAGTCTGGCTATGACGGAGATGAAACGCAAGAGATGAGATGGTCGGAGGAGATATGGGGCTCGTGGTTAAGGATCACATATTTACAAAAGAAACGACCTTACATAGGTTTATGGACTACTCTTCTTTAATATTAATAATGACTCCAAAATTGTCCACAATGATCACGTGATAAAACTCCATTTAAAAATTAGCAAACTATCCATATTCACATATTTTTAGTAAATAAATAAAATCTTAAATTCTAAACCCTAAGTCCAAAGTAAATAATTTACCTTTTTAATAAATGAATAAAACCCTAAACATTAAATTCTAAAAAAGTTATATACTTAAAAAATTCTAAGAAAAAATTGTGGAAAAATTAAGCAAGAATAAGTGAGACTATTGCCAAAATTTTCAGGTGAGAAACAAAATAAGATCATTTCAGTAAAATAGCGAAGGATATTCCATTAGCAATGAGTAATGAAAACCAAAGTCGGGAGAATCTGTACATGTTGTTAACATCGATCAGAATTCAATGCAGAAAGTATGGAAAAACATTTCACAAGACACCAAACACCAACTAATATATGGTGACTTTGAATTTCCCCACCCATTTATTGTACTAAAGTAGAAAAAAAAAAGATAGTTAGCATATTTGTGTAATTATTTATGAAAATATTATCATTTAATGCTTATTTTACAATTAGGGGTAGTAAGGTTACCCACTCCATTTTCAGAGAAGAGATTTGACAGTCTGAAGATCCAAAGGCAAGCTCCGAGACCCGTCTTCAATGGCTGCCAAGTCTCCTTCTTCCCCATCCAAATAAGCCTTCAAAAACGCCACCACAGCCCCACCCACAAATCTCCTCATCGGCCCTCGCGATTCCCCATTTCTACACAAACAGTAGCTCGCCTTCCCTCTGATTCCCCCCGTTTCGTCGTCCAGCAGATCCAAATGCCCGTAATCCTTCACCACCAAGTAATGCGCCGGATTCCGGCACTCGTTGAAAAAATCCTCGTGATTAAGCCCCTTCGGAGCGCAAGGGGGAAACAGGGGATTCCTCTTCACTTCGCCCAGACCCGACCCGATTACCAGAACCGGCAGCGCGAGCCCGAAATCGAAGGATTGGGGCACGAATTTGAGGACTGGGGGGTGGGTCTGCTTGCCGCTGCCCGTTCCGTCGACTGGATCGAGGCCGATTAGGGCTGAGAATTTCAGGGCTGTGGTGATTGATTTGTTTAGGGCTAGGGCAAATGCGAAGGAGGTTTTGCCGCCGCGGCTGTGGCCGGCGAGGGCCAGTTTGTCGAGATTTGGGTTCACGTTCGGCGGAAGATGCTGCCGGAGCCCTTCCGGCAGCCAGTCTGCGATGGCGGCCGTTGCTTTGATCTCTCCGCTTGAATCTGGGCCGGCCACTGTGTACAACTGTGAAAAAGAGCACAAGTGAATATTTTGATTAATAGTTTTAAATTTTGTTTTTAATCTCTTGAAACTCTCAATTTAATCATTTCTTGAAAAAATTATTAAGAATTTTTATTATTAAATAAATTATAGTTTAGATCATTAACACGTTAAACTCAATCCATCTTAAAATTGATTTCTTCAAAATAACATATCAGGTGGTATGCTCTTCCTGTTAATAAAACAATAAATTTTTATTGATCAAATTTGAAAGACTTTTTTGTGAAATAATTTAATTGAGATTTTTTTTACAGCATGCAACTGTGAAATCCAACGTTAAAAGTGGACAAATTTAAGAATGTTAAATTAAAAATTTTCAAAAAAATTAGGATTTCTCTAGTAACATTCTTATTTCTTATTTTAAATTTTTTAGAAACACAAGTTTTTATAATTGTACCGTTTCTCCTTTCTAGTTTTTAAAAAACGTTTTCAAAATTGGGTAGAGATTTAGGAAATAACAAAATAAGTTTTTTGCTTCTAATTCTCCTTTCCAATTTTTTTCGCAACATAAATAAAAAATAATATTTTATCATTTTTAACCTATAAAATAAAAGTAAGATAAAACATTTGAATATTTAATTTAAAATTTGAAGTTTCATATAAATTATTTATTTTTTAATTTTAAATTTTAGAAAACGAGAAAAAAATATTATCAAACTGATTCGTATTTCTGTTCTTATTTATTGAAAAAACAATAACAAATGATAATATTTAGTGGAAGCTTAATGGATTGAAAAATAAGTGGGGTGTGTGTTTATTTTTTGTTGACTTACAAGTTACAAGGCACTGAGGAAGCCATGGCGTGGAGCTATAGATTTCACAATTTTTTTGTTTAAAAACGTCACTATTTTCAAAAGGCACCTTCATTTTTGTACATATTGGGTTTGTGGACCAAAGGTTGACTGGAAAAAGATATTTTTTATAAAATATCTTATTCATTACCAGACTATATGAGTTGAAATAATAATTACTTCATTTAAATAATAATAATAATTAATCCCACATTGTACTTAATGGCTCTATAATTAATTCATATGAACCTTTATGATAATATTGTTAATAAAATTTAAATGTCTCTGCATAAAACACCTAAAAGACGATTAAATAAGATTTTGATTGTAAAAAATTCTTAAACGGTACATCTGAAAATGGGCGTGCTACGAAATGTTTTTAAAGTAGATTTTCAATTTTCTTTAAAAATGATATTTTTAACCTAATAAGATAGTTAATAATAATAATTGGGTTAAATAAATGATTAAGTTTGAATTTAGTCCTATAACTCATACATCAATTTAGTATTTATGATTTGGATTTGCATCCTTATAATTTTAAAAGTTTGTATTTAATCTCTTATTAGTTTAAACTAATTTTGATTCGGTATCTATAATTTAATTAAATCTTACTAATAGTTCTTGAATTAGGTTTAACCTAGTTGAAAAATCCTGTCTTATTTTCTTACTCAGTCGTAAAATAGAAGTATTTACTATTTGTGAAATTTTGTGAAATTGGACTAAATTACTATAGAGATGAAATTAAAATAAAATAAAAATTTAAAGACAAAAGTAAAATTAAGCTCAAAATTTTCGACTAAATTGAAATTTTTATCCGACTAAATTTATAATTAAAAAAAGAGAGAAAAAAATAAAAAGAGAAAGGAATGAACCTGAGGGGCGACGACGATGAAGCCGTGGGAAGCAATGTGTTGGATGAGCTGAGAGTAGAAAGTGTTGTAAAGAAGATAGCCGTGGATTAGCAGCAGCACCGGAAACTCTCCGCCGTCAGACGGCCGGCCGATCACCACCGGCTTCGGCGGAGCAAATCGGCCGCCGCCGCAAAACCCCGATTCAACCTTCTCCATCACGGCGTTGAAACTTCCCATCTCAAATACGTTTGCCGCAGTTGCAGAGCCGGCGGTGACCGACGGAGGAAGAAAAGAAAAAGAAGCCATAGCCATGGATGGATATGCCCAAATCTCAACTCTCAAACCCCCTTTTGCGGGCGTGCGTCACTCTCACTTTCACGCGCCTGAACCGATAATTATAGCCTCTTTATCTCCATATTTCCGTAAATGCCCCTTACCTTTTCCTTATTATATCAAATTATTTAGTTTATTTTTGCCAATTTTGCATTTAGACTTTTCGCTAGATATCAAAATATATCGAAGGGTCTCCAATTTTCTAAAATTTTAGGAATTGTAAAATTTGTAATGATGTCAGTTCAAATAAAGTAACGATAATTGTCATATATCTTCAACCTTTTGATATAATAAAGTGAACATAATTCAATATTAATTGACATATAACCCATCTAAAAAGTTGTGAATTCAAATCATTCCCTAAAAAAATTAAAGTTGATGTATTATTAGGAAAAATTTTGAGATATTTATATATTTATGGTATCTCAGCCTCTCTCCTTTCTCCCATTTATTAGTTATCATCTATTATTATTATTTTTATTTCTTATTTACATTTTTCACTTCTCTCATTCTCCGTTGTTAAGTAGCATCTAAATGGTTCAAATATGTTAAATAAAATAATATTTTAATTATACATCAACTTTTCATCCATGAAGTGCAGAAGTTTTGAGAGGGATGTAGTTGATAAATTTTTATACAATAAGGATAGAATTGAGTATTTTAAAATAATAAGGACTAGATGAAGAATTATTATTTGGTATATTTAACATTTTTTTTAATTACAAATCTTAGTAGATATAATAAATGTAATATGCATGTTATATTCCAAAGCTAGAAAATTTGTTATTAAAAGAAAGTAATTTACGAATATAACCATTTACAAATTTGCTGTCATATTTTGAGTGTTGTCTCTCACTAAACAACTTGGGAGATGGTTCAAAGTCAGCAAAAACACTATTAAATATATGATCAAATGGATTGCATATATGTAACAATTTTCTATTCAAAATTTATAATAGATGATAAAATTGATTTTCATATTTGCAAATCTATTATAGATAATAATTTGAAATATGACAAATTTGCTCTTTGTATAACACTAATATAACACGTCAATAATCTCAAACGTCTTACATTGGTTTCGTTTTTGTAAATTATTTTATTAGCGACACATATAGCAATATAGTTCAATACAATAGCAAATTAAACACAAGCTAAAAAATAAGTAAATATGACCCAATTTTTATGCTTATATGAAATAAAAACATTTGTGATAGTAAACATTTATAATGGTAAACAACACTCCCCTCCAAAGTTTCTATATTTGTAAAATCTAATTTATTATGCTATGATCGTAAGCATGACAAGATCATTGGTGGATGGTTACAATTTTTCAATTATTCTATCGTCACGAAATTTTATTTTTTCAAAAGAACAATAAAATTACACATATTTTTTTTAGTACAACATGTAGGGTAGAAAATTAGAACTCACGATCAGATAAGTACATTTACAAGATATTTCTTTCTTTTTTCTTTTTTTGGGACGAAAATTAAAATATATTTTTTTCTTTTTTCGAAATAAGAAAGAGATTGATTAGGAGGGAAGCCAGATGCATTACTAATAAAGGCATGGACAGTTAATAGACATTTAAATAGTAATTAATTTCCCCTTGATATTCCCAACAACACAACACACCAATGTTCTTTTTATTTTTTCATTGTGTTTCAGTTCTCTGCCCTCGGTGTCCCCCAACTGCAAAATTTTAATCCAATTTTGCAGGCAGAGAACTGAGCCCGAAATTTCCTCCAAAAATTTTCCCTTCCAAACGCAAAAATGAAATTAGGCGACGTGGAAAATGACCAAATTTACCCAATGATGATGGAGAGCCCCCAGCTCCGGTGGGGATTTATCCGGAAAGTTTACGCCATAATTTCAATGCAATTGCTTCTCACCGCCGCCGTCGCCGCCGCCGTCGTCTTCGTCCGCCCCATTCCGATATTCTTCGTCAGAACGACGCCGGGCATGATCGCGTACGTCGGAATCGTCATCTTCACGTTCATAGGTAAAATTCAAATTTAGGGATTCAAAATTTAAATATTGATATTGATTATATTATTAATATTTGTTTGTAGTTTTGTGTCCGTTGTATGCTTATCATAGGAGTCATCCGTTGAATTTTATTTTGCTGACTCTGTTCACCATTGGAATTGCGTTTTCTGTTGGAATCTCCTGCGCTTTCACCAAAGGTTAGGTGTTTTTTTTCTGCCCTTTTTTTTGGTCAGAATTTGTTCGTCGGTTCAGATTCAGTTTTGTTTGATTTTGTGAATTTCGATGGATTGGGTTTTTTGCTTAAAAAACTGAGTCAAATGGAATGTACGCTTACATATAATACCCTAAATGGGACCATGCAAATTATAATTTTTGTTTATTAACTTTCGTTGTCTAATTTATGCCATTGTAATAAATATAATTCTTTTTAACTTAAATACTATTTTCATAGTATAGTTTTAAACTTTTTGCCTTTGGTTCAGTTTTGGCGTTTGTACATCTGTTTAAATACTTCAAATCGTTTTTTTTCCTCTGTATTTCAAACGAGGTTTTGGTATAACTTTTTTTTTTATACATATTGGAAACTATTTAATACAAATTTTTTGTAGTTGCATTTAAAAAATTTAATAATTGGAGTGTCAAAATGAGCTATACTATCTTTTGGCAGGTTTATTGTTTCTATTCTTTAAAAACCTTCCCAAATTTGTAAGGATTTTGGAAATAACAAATACAAGTTTCTCATTACTCGTTTCTATTTTTAATTTGTTCCAAAACATAATCTTATCATTCTTGATTCCATAGATGTTAGGGTCATGCAATTATATTTTTCTAACAGAAACAAGAAACAACAATATTATCAAACAGACTCATACCTATCTTACAATTTAAGTTTCATTTTCTTTTTTTTTTTTTTCGAAATTACACCAATCTAAACATAACTTAAAAACACCTATTTACAATCAAAAGATTGTAAGTTCGAATTCACGCTCCACCCTTCATGACGTTGACCGAAGAACACATTTTGAAAAGTTAGGATCCTAAACCAAGTGCATTTAATTTCAGGTGAGATAATACTAGAAGCGGCGGCTCTAACAAGCGGAGTTGTGGTGGGCCTGACACTATACACATTCTGGGCCGTGAAGCAGGGCCACGATTTCAGCTTCCTCGACCCATTTCTCTTCGCGTCTCTCCTCGTGCTGTTCCTATTCGGGCTGATCCAGGTAAGTAACTCATTGGGCCATATCCATATTGGGCCTGGGCTTGGGCTTGGGCTCACCTCTGTTTCTGTTTCTTCGCAGATACTGTTCCCATTGGGAAAACTGTCGGTGATGATATACAGCGCGCTGTCGGCGCTACTGTTCTGCGGCTACATCGTATACGACACCGACAATCTCATCAAACGCTTCAGTTACGACGATTACATTTGGGCCGCCGTCACCCTTTATCTCGATATCGTTAATCTCTTCCTTGCCCTTCTCAACCTTCTCAGAGCTCTCGACTAAAATCCCGACTACAACTTTTTATTTTGTGTCTAATAATTCTTTAAACTTCCAATATATTTCGGGGTGGAATATACTACCCGTTTTTTAGACACCTTACCGTGAAACCAATATTTTTGCAAGCTTACTTTTCAAAAATAGGAAACTAAAAATAAAATGGCCCTCGATTATTTTTAGTTTATTTATTTATTAGACACTAAATTAAAAGTTGGAACCTCATGATTTTTTTTTTCCTTTTTTTTGTTTGAAAAATTGAGAGACCCTCCAAATTCAAAGTTTTGGTTTGTTATGTAATCATAAGCGGTGGATGTGGGATGGGGTTNTTCTATGATGGGTTTGTAAAGTTTGAGTACTTTGTTAAATTTAACATCATTATGAAAGTTTAATATCTAATTATGGGTTTTATCTACCATGTTGGTTATGTGATTAAGTAATTGTTGCTACTATTATGTTATGAACGTGACAGAGATTAGTACGAAGAATAAAGTATATGAGGCGACACAAAAAGGGACAAATAAAATCATAAACCTTATTTTTTTATGTATTAGTTTAAATCTTAGTGTTTTTATTGAAGGTAGATATTAAGTGACAGAGTAATAAAAATCATATTTTTCAAGAAAAAGAAATAGAGAATCCAAAATGATGTTTTATAAGTTTATGGCAAGTTTGGCAATATGAAATTTCTTGTTTTTCGTTTCAATTTTATTAAAAAATCTAAGCATCTGAAAATTATTTATATTTTTTGTTTCACTTGTTTTTAGAGACATGATCAAAACTGTAAAGAAATTTTAGAAACAATGAGGAAGACGTTTTATGTTTTTGTTCACGTTTTTACTTTGTTCCAACATAAATAAAAATCTTATTTTATCATTCTTGAATCGATAGGTGTTGGAGGTCATACAATTTTTTTTAGTAAAAATGAAAAAATACAAACAAGAAACCAGAATTTTAACAAAAGAATCCTTCATTTTTTATTTATCATTCTCAATTTTTTAGAAACACAAGCTTTGAGTAATTGTTCCTGTTTCCTATTTTTCATTTTCAAGAAACATTTTTAAAAATTGTGCAGAAATGTTTATCATTTTCACGTTTCTCGTATAAAAATGCAATTTTATCATTCTTGACTTATAAAATACATAATAATTATTACAAATAATAAAAATAACATTAAAAAATTAGATATTTAATTCAATAAATTTTAGAGAACGAGAAAGAAATAACTACCAAACATATTTCTAACGTTAGGTGGTTAATGACCGCAGGAAAATTTTGGGCACTGATAACACATTTAACAATGGTTGACCAAGAATTGTATTTTAGGATTGGGGGCTTCAATTTGTGTCTGTATTAAATGAAAAGGGAATTTGAATTTGGACAAACAGAGACGAACATTCTGACAAAAATTTCACAACACAAGCTTGTTTTGTCCACCTTAAGGAACACCCCTGTTTGGAAATGTGTTTACCTCCTATCCAAACCCTCTCACATAAATTCTGCCTCAATTTCAATCTTCCAAAACTACCCCTCGATAAATATACGATATAATTTAAATTACAAGTTTAGTCCTTCAACTTTTAAAGCTAAATTTACGAGTTCTTAACTCAGTGTTTATACGTAGTTCAAAAAAATAAAGTCGTGAGAGTTATGCCAAAAACAGATAATATCATATACTATTGTAAAGATATTTGGAATCCTTGAGATACCATTATCCTTAACAATAATTAGGAACTTAATAACCAAATTTAATAATCAGAGAAAAAGTGAAAAATGATTGTAGAGCAAACATCAAGACAATGATTATCCCAACATGACCAAAAACCTTAAACAAAGGATCCATCATCCATGGTTTAGTTGAACATAAAAAAACTCAATATTTAAAAAGAAAAGGAAAAAAAAAGAGCATCTTTTATTTTTTATGTTCATTGTTATTCCTCAGTAGTGGGGTTTATATTATATTCTTCTTGACTGCCTCAGTCCAAGCTTCCCCTTTTGGTTCCCAATACAGAGTTTAAAAGAGGAAACAAAAACATTTAAAAGAACCAAAACTAGAGTCACTTTGATTCAAATATTGGCCTTTTACTTTACCATCCAGATTGCAGCCAAAAACAAAATAAAAAGGGCCCCTCCAGTTTATATTCATATCATTAAAGAGACACCCCATTTGGATTACCTTTTCCTTTTTCTTTCTTACCTTTAATCTAAAATTCTTTTTACAAAAGAAACACCAAAGAAAAAGAAAAAAGGAAAAAAATTACATAAATTTTGACACTTCTTCATCTCCCTACAATATATATTCTCAAGCCACACTTCTGCCTCCTCTCTTCTCTGCAGCAATGGAGAGCAGCCGGGACACGCCTTGAGTCCAGATGTCGTACTCCCGTTGGCTCTTGCACTCGAACTCCACGACACCGCGGAGGACGGTCTTCAGGCCGAAGTAACGACGGTGCTCTCCACCGTCAAGGAGGTGGCGCCCGGGCCAGGCGGGAATGTCTTTGATCACCTCCAAAACCACATCTGAAAGGAGGGTTCAAAACAAAAAGCAGTGTAAAGATTTAAAGAGAGGTCCCCCTATAGAAATTCTTTATTCTTGGTTTTTTGCTTTATACTCTCAAAAACTTTCACCAATCCCCAAATGGAAGAAGACCCACATCCATTTCTGTTCAAATTTATGAGAGAAAAGACAAAAGAAATTCTCACTTACTCTTTTTCTTTTTTGTGAAGGTCCCAGCAACGTGCTTGCTCTTCATCTTCAACATAACCTGCACAAAAAGAAGTTCAATAAAGCTTAAAGAAAAATGGATAAGGCTGGCCATCGCCATGGTGGGCAATAAAGTTGGATCCGTTGCTTCTTGTACAATTTCATTCTCTGTAAAACTTTATATCCTTCCCCCCAATTGGGTTCACATCCCGAAGCAAAAAGAAAAAGCTGAACTTGAATGCTGAATGATTAACACGTCAAATTCAGATTACAAAACACTGAAACGAATCAACATGTCCTTGAAGCTTCTTTTACCTGATTCATTCTGTTGATATATACAGAAACTATCTTCCAGTGAAGATCGCCTGCAAATTAACAAATAAACTGCAGTCTTTTAACATAACTTCCAGTTTGACTCAAACAAAATTGCTTCCAAGTTTTAACTCTAATCAATCAAACCCATCAGAATGAAACTGGCTAAAGCAAAAGTAGGCAAAAGTTGAGTTTGATCGGATCAACAATGGCAGGGAAGAAAAGGTTTTACCTTTCCGGGTGCGTTTCAGCAGCTCGCAGCCTCTGGTGAGAAACTCTCGGCTGCAAATGCCTAAGAAATTTTCTTCAGGGACAAGTTCGCCGCTGAAACTACTGTTGGAATTCCCATTGCTGCCGTTCTCCACCACGCCCATTCCTTTGTCGACTGGGATTACAGCTGCTATGTTCCACACTTCCTTTAGCGCCCTTGCCTTCAGCGTCGCTGCCCCGCGTAAGGCTGAATGAAGCCAATGAGTTCATGTCAATAAACTTTACGATCGAGAAATATTCAATACTCAACACTATGTGCCTGGCTAGACATATACCTGTGGCTGCAGCTGCAGTTAGAGTCATGATATCTCCAGCAGACTTGACATTCACGGCCGAGCTCAAAACCAAAGCGAGATGATCACGTTCAGCCCCCATAGCTTCGGCAGCCTCAACACATTGAGCAGCAACCAAAGTTGCGGCAGAGGCAACAGCCATATCAGTCTTCGCCTTGTGTTCATCTTTACTAGATCCAGAGGAAGCCGCAGTGGCTGCAGCAATTGCAGCAATGGCTGCAGCCACTCCAGCAACCGAAACAGCGGCATGAAGCTGAGCATTCTGAGCTCTCGTTTCCTCTTTCTTCTTCTCTTTCCTGTCCTTAAGCCATCTCCCAACAGTCTTCCCACCTCCGGCAGTGGTGGCTCCTCCTCCAGTGGCAGTGACTCTGTATTGGTTACTGAGAGGGACGTTTGAGCGGCCACACTACAGAGAGGAATTACAAATTCTCATGAAACTAAAGGTGGGTCATCGATGAAAATGGATCACAAGAACTTGGAGAGTCAATTTATGGCGAATATAACGATAAACTGACAACCCCCCAACAGGCCATGGTGCTGGTGCTGACTCTGTAACACCGCACCCACCAAATGGCCTTGGGGTCCATAACTCATTTAATGCCCCAAAGTGGAGACAACCCTTGAAGGATTAAGCCTAATTCAACATCAGCCACTCGCCGGCGATGGAAATAATCCGGCGATTCGCCGACTGGGAATCAAGTCATTGAGAAACTAAAATTCGATTCAAAAGAGTGTAATAGGGAATTGCAAAATCGTCAAAAAGTGGAGATTAAGTCGATACTATTCTCTTTCCTTCTCTCTCTATGTGAGAGAGGTGTTTAATTAAAGAACATCGGTTACTGGGAAAGCTGAAACCATATATTTGGTCTGTGAGAAATGCTCAGTGCCCTGTAATCAGAACAACCCTATAACCGAAACAGAAGAAATAAACAAACAAACAAAAGGAGAGAGAGACAACTAGGCCGGCATGAACTGTGGGTGTCAGAATCCGGCGACCCTTCACCCAAGAAATCGCCGGTGACCGGAAAACTAACCTTAATGTCGTCGATCTCCGAGGGGGAAACAGGTGGGCTATCTGTCAAAGAACCGCAACTCTGGGCTCCATTGAGAGGGCCACTACTGTGAGACAATCTGCCTGAAGTCCGCGGCGAAACCTCTTGCTGCCATGGAAGTAAAAAAGGAACAGATCATTAATGGCGTCTGCCGCATTTACAGAATGCTACTTAATTAATCGATAGCTTATATGTTAATGCAAACGATTGCTTGATATCAGAGGGAAAAAAGGACTCAGAATTTGAAATCGGAAACGTAGAAATGACGAAAAGGGATAAATGTACCCAGTGAAAAAGGGTTGGTAGAAATCGAACTCACCATTAATTTCGAAAACGGCATTTAATTTCTTGAGTGTCTGTTTTAGGGGGTTTAAGAAGAAGAAGAAGAAGAAGAAGAAGAAGATGGGAGAAAATGTTGAAAAGAGAGAACAAAATTGGAGAGACCCGAATTGTTTTAAACAGGAATCAAGCAAAAAAGCAAGT